TCACTTTTTGCGTATTCTTTAATTTCCGTTAATTTAAATTCAGTTGAGTTTGACACTTTTCAGGATTTTGCCAGAAAAAATTCTTCTGACTAAATCTGACTACTTCGGACTGATGAGAGTCACTCTCAATGAGTGTTGCTCTCTCAATTTTGCTATCATTTCCGAGTTAAGGAACGCTTTTTGGACTAAATCTGACTACTTCGGACTTTTTCTGACTATTTCTGGGAGATAAGGTGTGTGCGCCCACCACTGTCGTATACGGCGTAAGCGATGCTGCAGTCACAATAGTGCTTCAGTACAAAATACCTTTAGTGTGGCTTAACAATGGTAAATTAACAACAAAAATAAAAAAAAAACAAATTTCTTTATTTCAGAGGTGTTATGACCATTAATATCACCTAATAACCACTCAGGGGACCTCTGACTTTTCAAATGACACCTCATTAGTTGAACTGCGTACATAGGAAAATAGAAAAAGGGAGACTAACAAAAAAACACCTTAGAGAAATAATATATATGATGATGATGATGATGATGATGATGATGATGATGATTCGGGAAAAGAACCTTGCATATTTTGTGTAAAAGACGAATTGAAAAATTCACCATGAAAAAATTAGTTTACTACAAATTATTCCTTATATCTCAGAAACCAATGAGACCAAGTAATGATGAAAAGCTGTAGAACAATCAACCCACATTGCTTTTCCGACAGCCTTCTGAACTTATAGTAACCTTAACCATTGAAAAACATGATTTAATAACACACATTAACTCGCCTTCGATATCGGAAAATAATTTTTCCTGACTGAAAAGTAAATTTTGGGTTGTTGTGCGCGGCAACTGGTTACAGTTATGGACCCAATGTTTATACACGAAATTTGGTACTTTGTTATGACTCTGCTGGTATATATATTTTTATCTTAAACTGTATCCGTTTTTTTTTTTTTTATTAAACTGGTCCAGTTTTTACAAAAGCATAAAATCGGTGTATGGTGCTACTTATAACAGCCGAAGGAGCAGAAAACCACTTCTTAACGTATATGGATCCAGTAAAAATACAAATTTGGCATAGCTGACTTTGTTTCTCTGGCGATAAGGCAAATTCATTTCGAAATAAAAAATGTTTTTAAACAGTATATAGCTTTTGCCTACTTAACCTTTAAAACAAATAAGTAAAAACAAAAGAGCTCAATTTGTTTACTTTTTTATTATTTCAAATATAACTGACACAACAAAATAAGCTTAGTTTGAGTTACAGTTTTATTAGCGTAACGCTCAACGCGCCAATTAGGGATGGCTGTAAGGCTTTAACTTTGAAATACATAGTCTGTTCCAATAGCAGTCCGGTTTACAGGATTTAGTCAGAACTTACAGGAAGTCGTTCTTATTGACATAAGACCTGTAAGTGGGAACACTTTTGAGAGAGTAACTGAGCAACTGTTCCTAGTCAGAAGTTACAGGATTATTCCGGAGTTTTTCCTGTAAGTTCATGAAAAGTGTCAAACGATCAGCTGATTTACAAAACAACAAACAAAAACAGAAAGCGGTGGAAGCAAAGAACCTTATATTTGTTAAAAAATGGAAGTAAAGGCCTGTATGCAGTTCTTAAGAAAAGCTAAAATTCCATACAAAATGACGTACAAGAAATGGCTAAGAAATTTTCTTAAAGTCAAATTTCCTACAGGCAGTACGCAGTTCTTAAGAAATTTGCTACGCTTTTTACTACGGTTTTCTAAAGTTTTTTGTGAAAAAAGAGCGCAAGGCAACCCAGGTTTGCAACAGAAATATATGCCCGTTTCATTATTTCTTGAGGAAAGAGTGAGGCAACAGGCTGTGAAGTATCAAAAATGTCAAAATTCCTGGACACACGCACGAAATAATGGCCAAATTTTCTTGACCGATTTCTTGAGAGCTGCATACCAGCCTTAAACAACGAAATATTTGAATCTGTATAGATTTAATAATTATTTAGTGATATTTCAGCCAAATCAGTGTTGTACCAATGACATGTAAACAACGACGTTTTTACAGGAAATAGTGCTTTTTGCGTTCGCGTGCACTTCTGCATCTGTTCTCCTTTACTCTCGCTTGAGAGAGTAAAATTGTAGTTTGACAGTTCCACAGGTTTTAGTCCGAAGTTCAAATGAACAGACAGAGAAGTATTGATTGATACTCGGTACCGATTTAAAAAGTATCCAATACTTTCTAGACTCGGTACCGAATCCGACTTCCAATTAGAACGCATGTAGACCTAAAATAAAAGCGGTTTAGGGGCGGCTAGCCTATCAAAAGAAAGTGTATGGGCTAATACAGGTTTTAATTTCCATTTTCCATACCCACAATGCAGAGAAACTCTTCCTTATTTGAAACATTTTTTTTCTAGATGAATCGGACGATGTTATCTTTGTAAGACTGAAAGATTTCCTTCCCCCGTCAAAGCATTTTTCGTAAATTTTAGATATAAGAAGGTGGAAACTGATAAAACGGTATTTTACTGTTGCGACAATCTCATGAAGGCGATGAGAGTGTTTCGATTTGTGGTTTCCACATTGCTTAGTACAAATTGTTAAATTTTTGGGAAAGCATCGTCTTACACGTACTAATTGAGAAGCATATTCATAGTCGAAATATGGTCGATGCAACTTTTTTACAGATATTCTGTTGAAAATTATGTCAAAAAGCTGCAATTATGTATAGAATCGGTATTGGGTACCGAAAAGGAAGTATTGGATACCGAAATCTTTCTGAAGTATTGGGTACCGGCAACTCAGCACATCACTAACCACGGCAACCAGGGCCGTAGCCAGGATTTTTTTTTCAGGGGGCGGCGCTTCTGGCAAAATTTGTTTTTAATTTCACTTTTATTTCAACATATTTTGGTTAAAAGAAAAATACTGATAAAAATTAAATATTTCATACAAACAACAAAAAATATAACCAATAATCGCATGGGGCTATTGCCTGAAAATTTTAAAATGCACTTTGTGGCATTGTGCTACTATGATAGCACGGCCGAATAATCATAGTCAACTTATGTACAGTAGTCGAGAAAATTATAGCCGCACCAAATTTTCACAAGTTTTAAAATATTATATTTGCTGTTATTTAATTTGGGTTATTTTTTTATAGTTCATTCTTTAAAAACATCCATATATAAATACAAGTTTAAAGGCAGTGTCACACGATTGGGTATTTTCCAAAATTTGGTGCAAATCGTATCCCAATTGTGTGAACACCCAAAATATTTTTCTTTATCCCAATCACGATAATTAATTTGTTGAAATTTTTCAATAGAACATCGCTGTATTGTACCAATCTTTTGACTACAAAAACCAAAATTGTCCCATTTGTTTTTACCAATATCCCAATATAAAAATGTACAAATCTGTACAAATGTACCAATCGAGTGACACTGCCTTAAAAATTTATGCAATTCAAAAAAGAATTCAACAAATTTTCGTTAAAATTTCGAGTTTTTTAATTAAATTCTGAGTATGCAGTTTTGTGGCGCATTGAATTCCAGTAGAATAAAGTATGAGTTTCAAATGACTAAAGATTTCGATTGATTTTGTTTTCGAAAATTTGTTGAATTTTTTTTAATATTGCACAAATTTGGAAACTTGGATTTACACGGGCTTTGTTAAAGAATGAACTATATTTTTTATAAAAAAAAATAACAAAAGTTCAATGACAACAAAAATAATACGTTAAAACTTGGAAAAAAGTGGCTCGGCTATAATTTTTTGACCACTGCACATTATGTCCGAAATTAATAGCAGTTAAAATATTGCTCTATTTTAATGTAAAATGATGCCAACCGTTAAAAAAACTGTAAAGTCAGTAAATAAAATGTGAAAACATTGTTCAGTTAGCTTGGTTTTGACACAAGTTATTTGCTTACCATATTCAACCCCCTCCCCCTTTAAATGAGCTACATAATAAAATAAGTATGTTCATATGTACATAAATGATTTCATCTACCCATTAATTATGGCATTATCAAAATTCGTACATTAAAAAATAAATTACTGTCTACATGTATGGCAGATATGCCTTGAGGAGAGGTCTTCATAAAACACCTACAAAAAGTTCACTCACTTTATCCGGGTTCATTTTGTTCATCGCTAAAATTTGTCAAAAAAATGAACCAAAAATGGCGATTTTTAGAGTTGCATTTTTATGAGAGAATCGCGAAAACCGCTGAAAATTGCTAAAATTCATTTAGCACTTTTTGGCGTTGGAGTTTTAGCGATAGCGAATGTTGGAATCCGGGTGCTGATTAGACTTTGTATATGGGCATTCCCATGGTGGCGCACGTGACAGTCGTACGATTTCAATGTGATACACAAAAGGAATACCATTTGTTTTCTTTAACTTTTTTTGGTCATTGTATAGCAAATAATTAGCTCTATATTTAACCGAAAAATGAAATCAATCGAACTGCTTGGTCCTGAAATATAAGCATTTAAAGAGAGGGTCGTTACGTGACAAAAAATGGAAGTTGATTTTTTCTTTTCTTACAAAATCGCAAAACTCTGCGAATTGTGGATGGCTATTTTCATGAAACTTATTTTAATATGATTTGGAGCAATTCTAGTTGTTTTTAGAGTTTTTTGAATTAATGCAAATTGTTTCAATTCTCTTTTACAACCCCAAGTGTGAAACGTGACGTGACGTGGCGTGACGTGACATAAATTTCCATCGTTATATTTTTGTTAATATTGCTTTTAAATGAATTTTTAATGCAAATAAAACATGTATTTTATGTAGAATATACTTTATATTTTGACTCCAGCGGCAATTCAGGGTCATTTTATTGGAAATCTATGATTTATTATGTTTCAACCACATACGCCAAAATCGAACCAAATCGGACCATAAATACGGTTTTTCGAAATATCTCGACCTTGGCCCCACCTAGGAAGACCATTTTATGCAAACATGATTCTACTTACATAGCCAGTATATATTTAAAAAAGCAGACAAATCGGCCCGTAAATACGTTAGATATAAAACTTTTATTTTTTTTGTCGTGGTGGACCTTCCGCTGGAAACACCCATATGCTACTTTTTAATGCTGTATACTTTTGGGCCAAACAGATTTTTATTCAGAGAATTTTGGCAATGAAAAATTTGTGTAGTGATTGTATTCTGCAGGCATCTTCCTCTCGCTCCCATGATGATATGTATGTCTTTGAAGGCATAAATTAGTCTGACTCTTAATTAAAAACAGAATTTATATTACATTATTTAATTAAAGAACTATATCATATTACAAATTAAAAAAAAAACAGCAGGTGCATACGCTAAAGTTTTTTGACAGTTTTCGGTTAACTCTGCCTGTGGAAATCGTCAGATTATATATTTCCAGTTATCCTTGAGCTGTTTGCTTCATAATAAATAAAAAAATTAACGCGCTACAGAATGTAAAGGTTAGTTTTTTTGCAAGTTTGTGATGCTCCCAATCCCTTCCGTGACGCACAAATCGTCAGATTATTGAAATGCAGACTTTTCAGCATATAATTACCCACAATTCCTTAATATGACGCGCTCGAGTAAATCTATAATTTTTTTTTACTATTCTGATAGACTATCCTACGCGCGCGGACCTACATAGGGGGCTTAGATTATTTAGAGGTAGTCAAAAGGCTGCAAGGTATCCCCCATTTATTAATCTGCCGCGCTCGAATAAATCCCCGATTACCTTCTTGGGCTCCCCCACTTACTATCTACTGAAATTTTTAATATCGTGCAGTTATTTTATCTTTTTAGAATTTTACGAATCTGAGTATGGAAATAGTTAAATATCAAGCACATAACTAAATTAATGGGCATTTCAAATGGTAAACAATTTCTTGCTTCAATGTATGAGTGTCTTTGCGTGGCTGTGTATATGTATGTTTGTACATGTACACCTATGTTTTGGTTAAAGTATACAACAGTTAACCAACAGCTAAGAATTAACTTATAATCTCAAAAAATCCTCGGTACCCGAAACAGCTCTAAACATTGTCCTTACTAGGTTGAGCCTTCAATGGCGTAGCTTCATCCTTTCCTTCTTTTTTCTCTAGCTTATTCCATGATTGTTCCTCACCGGAACCGAAGATGACAAATACCAAGAATTCGATAGAGAAGAGCACAATCGTTACATAGAAAATTATACGCCAGGCCTCAATAGTTTGCTGTAGAATGGAAACTAATTAAGTTTTAAATACATAGATACAAAGTCGTTTCGTAATTAAGAAGGACTTACGTTATTCGTTGTTACGAGGCCGACAAATATTGGAACTATAATGCCCGGAATGGTTGCGGCAGTGTTGGTAATTGCGACCAGTGTGCCGGCGTAGTTTGGTGCAATGTCAATGTGATTAGAGAGGAAACCAGAAAACATGCCACCCATGCCAATGATGCCGATTGTCATGATCACCACAGCAGCGGTGTGTTTACAGCCGATGTTGCAGAGGGCTAGAAGGCAAATTCCGGGGATGATTGTACAGATGCTTGTGGCCGTTTTGCGTGCGGTGGTTGTGGTAATTTTCCCTGGAAAAGGGGGGCATTGGTTAAAATCATTCACTATTGCTGTAATGTCATATAAGCGCAGTAAAAGCTCAAATTCCAGAGAAAGCAAACCGATACATACATACATACATATACATAAATATATATTTTTAATGCCATTCATTACCTTTGGCTTTCAGTGTGTCCAGAGTTTTGCCCAATAAAATACTCAAAACCAACATTGGGAAGTAGGGCAGTGCGCTGAACTGGGCATTGCTTGATACATCGAACTTTAGGACTTGTTTCATATAGAATGGGATTTCAATTAAGAACATATACCATCCCCAGTTACTGCAACAGTGAGCAATCAAAATGGCCCAGAATGGTATGGATGTCAGCACTTTCTTCCATGGCACTGGCGGATGTTCCTCATGTTCTGCAGTGTTATCGGTACCCAGCTGTGACGTTATCATTTGTCGTTCTTCCGGACTTATGAAACGTTGTTTATTCGGATTATCCTGGATTAGAAATAGCCACAAGATCATCCAGATCGAACTTAGACCGCCCATCCAGTAAAAGACCGATTCCCAGCCCCATTTTGCCGACAAAACTCCAGCTAATAGTATAGAGATTGCTGTACCAAAGGAAGTTCCCACATATATAATTGTTGACATAACAGAGCGTTCATTGGGTGGTGCCCAAGATGCAATCATGCAGTGCATCGCGGGGAAAGTAGCGCCACCACCTATGCCTTCCAGGACGCGCATTACAATTAAACCGACGTAGTGTGTTTGCGTCAACACTGGCGTAAGTAAAGTGGCAATTACATTGATGCCTACCGATACAAACATTACCCATTTGGCGGAGAACTTTTCAGCTACACGCGCACTCGGTATTTGCGAAACCAAGTAGCCCCAGAAGTAGCAGCTTAGCAAGATTCCCTGTATTTTTTCACTCCACACAAAAGGGCCATCCTAAAATTTAAGATTATTTGTATACATACATAAGTACTTTTTAATACATTATGAGGAAGAGAGGGGAGTTCACTGTGTATTAAGTATGAAGACAAAACGATTATATGGCATTGATTTAGTTGATTATTAACCCTAGAATACGGTTGCCAGACGTACTGATTTTATCAGTACAGTACTGTTTTTTCAACTCTTGTACTGATTTTATTCATTTCTTCAATCAGTACGCTAATGTCCTGATTTTTCAAAATTTGTACTGATTTGTACTGAATTTCCAACTCAAATAAAATACTTTAGGTTTTTCTTAAGGTTTTACATAACGTTGCAAATTCCTTAAACTGCACTGTAAAAAGTAAACAGAAAATAATTTAATTATAGTTGACATGTTTCAAATAATATTTGATATGTCCAAAAAAATAATGCATTACGTACCAGTTGCGATAATAAGATGGGACTTAAATTATTTAAAAAGAAGGATGACGTTTCCTGTCGAGTTTTGTTAGTTATCTCGAAAATATTTTTCAGTTTAATAACAGCAAATTCTAATATTCGAATCGCTTTTGTCTATAACTTACAATTCTTTTTTCAAAATTTACTGACATTGTAAAAGAGCTTTGCATACAAGACATAGAGTTAGATATTTTTTTTAGCGAATTCTTAGTCTTTCAAAGTTTTTGCGAAGTTGAAAAAATTAATTTAAGCCATGAGGAAATATAGATGCATTCCTTAGATAGTGGTACTTTTCGACAGTTTGAAAAAACATGTAATGTTTTTTTTCAATACCACACTCAAACGAAACAACCGAGAGGATCTTAAGTATAAAGTTTGCTTCCTGACGCAAAGAGAGAAACCGGCTTCTAATTTAAATTTTTTGAAGTGAACTTCAAATTAAAAGTAATTTTAAAATGAAATGTATAGAATTCTTTGACTATTTAAACACTGAAGATTGAACCATCTCATTATTGCTATTCAAGTATGTCATAAATATAAAAGAATTTATGGCTTCTGTGTACAATGATGTGTACACCCATGTCTAAATGACTAACACTTTTATTTTTTATGAACTATATTTTTTGTATACCAAAATAGTGGTACAAACAAGTACTCTGGCGTTTTAGAGCATTATCTGTTACTTACATTCATAATTTTGCTTTATAAAAAAAGTGTACTGATTTCGTCTATACAAAATCTGGCAACCCTACCCTAGAATACTACGATAAATTTTACTCATTTAATACTTATGTTCGCCTGTGAGGCTACTTTAGAAAATATCTAAAATTTTCTTTTTAAACCATGCCATTTAAAAAAAGGTTCAAATTTATTTCATAAGCTTCTAAAGAAAAGAAATAAATAGATTCAGTTCATAAATTTAATATTACCAAAACAAAATGCATAAAAATACATAATTTAAAACCGAAATACCAAGTACAAAAAACAATTCATATCAATTTAATAATACCTTATTTTACTTTTTAATAATACTCAAAAAAAAAAATTAAAGACTTATGGCCTTAGTCATAAAAAATAAAATAGCTTTAAAGAGCTTTATAAAGTGGCATTTTCATACAAATTTTCGATTTACAAAGCAGTTAAAGCCTTCTTTAGTTTTTATGAATAAGGCCATTATTTTACTACAATGACTTGTGTATGAGAATAAAAACAGATCAGTTAAGGACAGTAAAGGTAAGTAAGAGAACCACCAGATACATATATACAATAGAAAGGCATATTATACGGTGACCATATTTATGGGGTCGAATACGGGACAAAAAATAATTTTGCTATTTTTTCCACGCCAGGTAACAGATCTTAAAACCTTCTTCAATGATCCTAAATATATTGGAGCTGAAAGAGCATTACTAAAGTAACATCTCAAACTTATAGGATATTTTTATCGAGATTTTTACCCCACAAAATTTGTTACAAAAAATCTTAATACAATAAAGTGCATGTTTGAAGTAGCTAGGATTTACCGTTAGTTTTTGGATTTATATTTTTTTTGACGGTGTTACGAATTTTTTTTCGTACAAAGTATGCTCGATAATATTTTTAAAAGAGAAGCAAATGAGCAGCACACATTGCACTTGCACTTTATTATAATAAATTTTAATGAGCTACAAAACTTCAAACCAAATTTTTTCTAAAGATTCTAATTAAAAAGTTTGAAAGTTTGGTAAAACTTTGCAGAATTAATTTTTATAGTTTTTGCACAAAGTCGGAAATTTGAATTTATATGGTTTTTGTTAGGAAAACAGCCTAAGAAACATAAAATAAACAAAATAAAAATAGCCAAACGTGGCTAAAATGTCGAGTCCTAACTTATATTTTCGTCACTGTATGTATTTCTCTATTCGAATCACAGGCATTCAGGATAGAAACTAATAACGGTTTATGGAGAAAATTACGATCATATACTAACATCACTTAAAACTGGTTCATAGACATGCCATTTTAATGGGCTGTTAAGGCATCGAAATGCCGAACACTGAATACAGGACATGAAAAGGAATACAGAACATTTAGCGTCCCGTATAAAATAAAGAAATTACTAGGACAATTGGTCAAAAAAGATGACCGTCCCGTATAATACAGGGCGGATGGTCACCGTAGGCATATACCATAGTAAATAGAATAAAGTCGAATCTCTAGTCTGACGACGATATTTTTAATTAAATGTTCAAAAATTATTTTTTTTTTGCACTCATTTGTTTAATGAACAAATTATATACGTTCCAATTGAAAGCATAAAGCCTATAGAATGTGAACACGTTGGTTTGTCTATTTTTTTCCTTGCGTAACTATCGGGTTGCCAGGTTTGATTAGGTAAGTAATACCATATAGTAATTTTCACTCAACTGTTTAATAAATAAGTCTTGTACCAAAATAAAGAAAATTTTATTTCGTGCTCGACGATATAAGTTTATCTGCGAAAAACTTGGCCTAAATTCCAGTTCGTGAGCTTTTAAATCAAAATACACTGTAAGGAAAATCTCAAGTTTTGAAATGACAAAAAAAAAAACTCCGAGACACGGAAACTCGGGTGTACCACATAATCCCCAAAATCAAAATCCCCAAAATCACAATCCCCAAAATCAAAATCCCCAAAATTAAAATCCTCAAACACGAAATCCCCCTTTTCTGTGTGAAACTATATTCGACATTATTTCTCACAAAAAAATTCAAAACAAATTGTGTGATGAATTCGCAAATATTTATTAGGTAAATGAAAATTGAAGAAAAGGCAATACGTCGCAATAACTTATGAATATATTTTACATAAGCTTAAATAAATACAAAATTCGTTGTTTTTCAAATTAGACCCTACTCAAAATAAATTGTATTATTTCACAAATATTTATGTATTATACATACATACATACATATCGCCGTTTAAAGTACAAAACCGCGTATCGTCATTCTGCGAAACCGCGTAACTGATATTTGCTGCCAAAAAATGGATTTTCTCACACAAGCAAATCAAATTTTTGGCAGCAAATATCAGTTACGCGGGTTTGCAGAATGACGATACGCGGTTTTGTACTTTAAACGTTGATATACATTTAGGTAAATCTAAATTTAAGAAAATAAATTACATCACATAAGTTCATATTTCTTTACCAAATTAGTTTAAAACCAAAGATGAAAGGACAAATATAAATTTAATAGCAAAGTGAAATATTGTGGGATATAGATCTCAAATAAGTTATTTTATCTAAATCCGCACGATGTTCAACAACTGTCTTAATTTTCTTGACACGCTCAACATTTTTTTTTATTTTTGCGTATACCTGTGCCTGATTGTATCTTTTCAATGTTTGTTTGTACTACAATCATCTCTTTCCTTAAATGTTTTATAATTTCATATACACCACATTTTTTTTCCTACAATTATTTTGAGCCTACGGTGCCAAGCCTCAATACAGTTTTGAGTGCGCGGAAAATTGTCTTTAAATGAATCCGAAACACACCAAAATTTTGGGTTATATTTAGGTCCGTCCGACTTTGTACTTCCAGTAATATAATTTTTTTTAAACCAAACACAAACTTTCTTAAAATCGTTATCTGTCGAGCTGGCATTCAGTGCGTTATAATAACACTGGTCGACGGCCAAAATTTACCAGAGACGCCGTTATGAAATTCGTATGTAAAATCACCCCCTGATTCCGAAAATCAAGGTTATTTTTAATTTTATGGTACCGTTTTTGAGATATTTGCAATTTACCGTTTTTGCAAAAAAAAAAAAAATTGGGTCCACTTTATCATATATATCTCAAGAACGAATTAAGCAATTCCAAAACGGTTTGAAGCTTTTAAAAGGTAATAAAATTTTCTATAAACTGTGCATACAACACTTTTTGCTAGGCCCTGTAGATTCAAAGATAACGAACAATCATTACCGATTTTTTCAATTTTTTTTGTAAAAATATAAAAAAAATTGTACTTTGCGGGGAAGGATCTCGAAAACCTTTTATTTTTTTGCAGTTTTTTTTTTCTCCCTAAGCTCTGTTGTATTAAAAAAAAAATAAGCTATCATCGAAGAAAATCGATGCAAAACTACGTAAGTTATAAGCGATCAAATAAAAATACCCAGGTTGCGCAATTTCAACGTATACCTCAAAACGTATGTATGGTATAAAGAAGAGTGAAATATCTAGCTATGCTCTGTTTCTATTGAGTTAAAAGTTCAATTTATGAATGAAATTACCCATATTTTTAACTTTTTTTTTAAATTTATTTATGTTTATACTATATTCTAACAATCTTTATCTTAATTTGATTTTACTATGTTGTCGAAATAATTATGTGTTCTACTTTGACGCTTATTCAGTTTAGGATCGGTTTCTCTTATGAGAAACCAGCAGTAATCACCCATCATTGCGACGTCCCAGAATCCTTGATATCGATTCTCAATTAATTTCATTTGCTGATGAAACCTTTCGCCATGTTCATCACTTTCGTCGCCAAGATTTGCCGGAAAAAAGCTCAAATGTGAGTGGAGAAAG